TTTAGGTGGCACCACCCGAAGCTGCGTTCGTCTCCCCCTAGCTAGGTCTACCCTATTCGTAAATTCCCCTTTCTTTTCCTCCTACTCCACGTGGCTCCAACTGCCTCCCAGTGTTAGACAAGCTCCAGGTATGCCCAAATTCCGTACCCTCGTCAGACAGCACTTCAGTATCTCCCAGTAAACAAAGTCACAGTCACCACTTCCGCTGCATAGCTCGCTGAGCATCCCATTGCTTTTTAAGTTGCTAATCCCTTCCCACTTTGTGTACGTGCTCTTCATTTTCTTTTTTCTCTTCTTCCGTGGTTGGTCTCACCCTCTCCTCAATTCAATTGGCTGTCTTGACATGCCACAAGGTGCAGAAATAAATAAATAAAGAAAGAAATAAAATCATTTTATTAACAATGTAAGCGATGGAGACGATGCAAGAAACAACCTAAAGGGTAAGGAAAAATACATGTAAGAAGAAAAAGGGCAATGGAAAAAAAGATGATTCGAACAAGTTTTCGTACAACACTCTTCAGGAATCACCATTGTACTAAAGAACAAAATGAGAACAAAGGAAATAGAATAGCAATCAAGGTAGGGTGACACGATACAATGACAGCACTGGAATATCGAGGTGCGATTTCTCACAAAAGTGTTCAGAAAACAAGGGTATACAAGTAAGAAGTAAGCGTGACAAGTGTGTATCAGCAACAAAAACAAAAAAGTGAGAACGAATGATAATAATAACAATAATAAACAAGAAGGTGACAAAACACATTTAGGCACAAGTGGCATCAACGTTGCCACACTACACAACAGAACATTATTTGAACAATTTTAGGGTAATAACACTGTCTTTCTGGACACACAAATTCAGCTTATGAATGCGCTGACAAACAGCTTCCAAAACTTGTAACTGCAAATAATAACCATGACGAGCACGGCACAAAACAGAAAAACAGGAATCAGAATAAGTACGACAACAGTCAGTACTAGAAACCAAATGATTGTATACTGAAGACTTGTTATTACGAGACGGACGCACACAATCTCGACTCACGCGCACACCCTCACACTCACTCTCACCCTCACTCAGCTCACCTTCTCCCTCACTGTCCGAATCAGAACCTGCTCCGTCATCCACCGCGGTTTGACTCTCCTCCTCACTTGCATCTTCCTGCGTCTCACCTTCACCACCCACGCCAACCGTGAATGCCGTTGCCTTCATGTCAGTCGGCGTCCTTTCCGATTGTTTCCTTTGTATTTTTACCGTGAATTCATAGGTCCGGTTGTAATCTGCTGTAGATCTCCGTGGTCTGTCATTTGCTGCTTTGTTTTGTGGATTAGTTGTTGTTGTTGTTGGATGTGAAGCTGGTGTTGTTGTTGGATGTGAAGCTGGTGTTGTTGTTGCAGCCATGGTTGTTGGTCTTTCTGTTGAATCCAGCTCTGGTTCCGGTGGGACAAATCGACCGCCGCGGGTGCTCCCCACCAACACAGACCTCGAAGGAGGAGGGTCAGGGGGAGGCAGAGGTGCTGTCACCACTCGACGCACAGCCCCATGCAAAGCACCCAGAGGCACAGACTTAGGCACACCCAAGGGCTGCACCAATGGCGGTTCCGCACGCACCTCCAAAGAGCTGCCAAGCTCAAGCCCGTCCAACACAGATGTCAGAGGGGGAGCGGCAGACAGCGGCAGACAGCGGCAGGGAACTATCCTGCCGTCTAGGTGGTGGGGTTTTCCTAGGCCTCCCGCGTTTCGGCCTCTCAGATTGCGCACTGGGTGGAAGGATGTGAAGTGGAGTGTGTTGTTTGATACGTGCGTTCAGGTGCTGAACAGTCCTACCAACATACCGACTAGCACAATGTCGGCATTCGAAGTTGTAGATAACATGACTAAGGTGGAGGGTTGGTAGGACGTCCTTCCGCACCGTGAACGCACGCATTGTTGTGAAGACTGGCACAAAATGTACTGCATAATAAGTACGACGGACGATAGACTTGACTTCGTGACGCACTTAGTCTTTGATCGATTCCTGCCCCTTCCATGGCAAACATAGATAGACGGGACAGCGAGGTGGACCAATCAGCACCGATTTCGGTTTCTGCTACATGGACAGAAACTTACGCAACAAGAATTCCGGATAGCCATTCTTCAAGAAAACAGATCGAAGAAAATCGAGCTCGGCCTGCAGCTTACTGGGCGAACAAATACGTTTCGCACGGTCCACGAGGTTACGAACTAAGTTGACCTTGTATTGAGACGAACAATATGAATCGAAGACAATGTACTGACCGGTGAACGTAGGCTTACGATACACAGAAGTCAACATTTCACAGCCAGTCTTCTCTACAAGCACGTCTAGAAATGACAACTTACTAGACTGCTCGTGCTCACAAGTAAAGCGGAGGGAAGGATGTAGGCTGTTGAGCACATCGAGAAACAATTCACTGCTCTCAACACTGTCAAAATGCGTGAACGAATCGTCAACAAAACGCACGTAGAACGCGGGCCAAAGCGACTCATCAATCTTGCACTCACAATAACCAACGAATATATTGGCGAGGACGGGACCAAGAGGAGATCCCATCGCCACACCATCCACTTGCTTGTACATCACTGCATCCTCAGCTAAGCGCATTAGCCATGCTGGAGCTATCCTGTGGAACCAGCTCCCAGACACAGCACGCCTCGAAAGAAAGCGCTCCACTTTCAAATCGCTAAGCCTGGCCTTTCTGTTAGGCAGTACCGTCAACTAGGATGAACTCATCTGCTTCACTACCTCTCTCTCTCTCCCTCTCTCTCTCTCTCTCTCTCTCTCTCTCTCTCTCTCTCTCTCTCTCTCTCTCTCTCTCTCTCTCTCTCTCCTCTCTCTCACTCACTCACTCACTCCTTTCTTCCCGGTTGCCGTGCTTGTGACTTTTTTTTCCCCTGCTGCCGTGCTCATATTAGTTATCTAACTACAGCTGTATCTTCTTCTTGGTTCTGTTTGTCCGCTTATTATTATATATTTTTCTTTTCTCTTATTATCAGTGGGACCATTGTCATTAGGTTTAGGCCTGTTTTGGAACTCCACTTTAAATAAAGCCAAACAACAACAACAACAACAACAACAACTGAAGAGTGATTCCTGAAGAGTGTTGTACGAAAACTTGTTCGAATAATCTTTTTTTTCCATTGCCCTTTTTCTTCTTACATGTACTTTTCCTTACCCTTTAGGTTGTTTCTTGCATCGTCTCCATCACTTACATTGTTAATAAAGTAGTCCACATGTCGCTTCAGTTCGTCCTACTTATTGCCATATTAAAATTATTGTCTCCTCGTCGAATTTTTAAATAAAATCAATCAATCAATCAGGTTCCTACCTGTGGATGCAGCTGGGGACGCTGGTCCACAGGCCATGGTCGTCGATGAACTCCCATGTTGTATTTCCGATGGAAGTAACTATGTGACTAGCAAAGTTACACTGCCACTGATACCATGTAGAGGGGACGGTTTCAAATAGGACACCGGTTGCGAACCGGAACGGACTCAATATTCACTTTCTCTCTTGGTATTTTGATTAGAAAACATATCATATCACAGTGAGACTACTATGTGTTATACTCCGAGCCAAAATTTCATGGCTCTGCGATGACCAGAAGCGCCATATCAAGCAGGTGAGTTTTTGACGTGTTGCTTCGCACTGCGACTTGAGTTTTACGACTTTCGAAAAATCAACTTCTTGTCGCAGGTAAACAGCGGCTCGCCTCTCGCCAATAAAGCACCGCATACCAATCAAAACTAATGGAAGCACGCACAAGGCTTATTGTTACTCTGTACTGGCCGTCGTGGAGCGATAGCAATTACCTAATTTCAGACCCAGAGTGAATTTGACGTGCACTCTAAAACGTGTCCGGTTTGGAGCCACCTCTGATTTGAACTTTTTTGAAGCGAAAAATTGGGCAACTTGGAGGCAATGGGTCAACACAAAGGAGTGGCTCAGTTCGATTGACTCTGGCCCCAGAGCAAACTTCAACATGCCAGTTTCCTTCCACAAACATATTTCGAGTGAAAAATCAACGCTGATGATCGGTTTGGGTCTATACAAATTTGGCTGTCAAAACGTCCCGGTATCGAGCCGTCTCCTCTACTAGTGATGGTGTTACCCTATGATGTGCTGTGATCCTGTGCCCTCCCGACCTCGTGGTACTGGTGCCTTCGGGTCCCGTCATTCGCAAATTACTGTCCCTCCAGGAAATCGCGATTCCACGGCTGCAACAAATTTCGCGATTTTGGCCCAAACCCGCGATTTTCAGCAAAATCCGCGATTTCCCACGTTTTTTGTTGTTTTCTGCACTCTATTTCATGCACTTTTCACACAGTGCTTTCCATGATCCTGTACGTTATTTGCACAGTACGACTAGTACTACTCCGGAGTAGATATACGATGCAACAAATTTCGTGATTTGGCCCAAATCCGCAATTTTCTGCAAATAATTCCGCGAATTCCTGGCAAGTTCTGCATCATTCCGCACTTTTTGTCGCATTTTTGTTGTTTTCTGCCGCAATTTCTTGCGCAAGTTTTCGAGAGTTTTTTCCGCAAATTCCCGCAGGGACAGAATTTAGGTGGGTCAGTTCACATTTGGGGGGACAATAGAGAGGTTAAGATGCACGTTATTTCTGACGTGACGCGAAAGTTCAGCTCGCGTTATTTGCTCGCACGTCAAAAAATCAATGCGGGTGACCTGCTGCTCACGTCGAAATTTGGAGTTTTACGCCAAATTTGACGGGAAATTGCGCGTCACGTCGGAAATAACGTGCATCTTAACCTCTCTAATGGGCCAGTTTTAATTTCTGAAGGTAAACATGATGAACACGCGCGCGATGTACTGTATGTAGGCATGAGAGTACGATAACACACTGATACATACCAGCCCTCTCCACTTCGCTTACCCCGCACACAGATACACAAACACGCGGATGCACACGGCACACATACGCACATGCACACGACACAAACAGGAAATTCTTCATGTAAAATGCCATGCAAAGCAGTGGCCACCGTACTTCAGGAAGTCAGTTGTGGAACAAAATAATTCAACTACAACGTGTAGACAAGCTGACGGCCAAAGCACAACATAGCAAACATGACATTTGCCCAAGGATTGCAGTTTGCAGACCACGCCATGGAAGCAGCGAATACAGAATGTAATATCATACAAAGTGACAAGCAAAGAAGTGGCCACCATACACCAGAGACTTGCAGAAAGTCACATATCCAACAGATAGAAAAGTGAACAGCAATCTGGTACAGCCCACACAAGACAAAGCTGACCTGATACTTGTCCCAGGATCGCAAGTGGCAGATCCTTTTCGATGCATAACATGCAGGTGTACGTTACACGCATGGACAAAATCTGACCGTGTCGCCAGCATACAATGTCATCACATGTATAACCCACAAGTTACACACATGCACAGTAGAAGCACAATGAAAGCAATGGAAAAGTACGATGTGGTTGCTGAAGCATCTTCGCACTTCAAATTCAGACTTCAATGTGGTCGTCACGAGATGATATACCTGCAAGATACAAGTGGTGCAGAAAGAAAGCAGAAGGTCGTGAGGTAGGCTATGAGACACCACAAACGGGTCACCTACATGTATGTTCAGGGCTAGTGCACTCGCACGCAGAATTATCATAATCGAGCATTTCCCAAACTGAGAAGTGCAAGGAAATCCACTTGCATGCACAGGAGCAATTTTGCCGCTGGTGTGATGCGCAATTCGAGACAATCTGCGATGCTGCGTGCTCACCTCTGATGCCGATTACTTCCTTGCTTAGACCGGCCCGGTCTGCTCTCCCTTCACTCTCTTCTAAATCCTACTTGGAGCAGTAAGGCTGTGTCACTGCTCCTACTGATAACCCAGTTAGGTTGTGGTCATTGTTGTGAAAGCAATATCATCGTCATTGTGGTAATAGCATACGTTTTTTGCACAGCGGCTGGCGCTAGAACGTGCAGCAAGCAGCACGCTTGTACTTCGGATTTTGCGATTTTTTCGAGGGCAATGGCTTCCTTTTTGCTTTGGCTACCTACGAAGTACGACCAAAAATCTATGAGAAGTATTTTTGAAGCTGGAGTACAAGTGGGGTTGTCTGATAAGTGCAAGGAGAACCCTCCTTTGTGGCTGTAGAGCGCTAAAACGTGCGCTGTTGGCCGAAAAATCCGAGTTTTTTTCTCCCGGGGGACACCCCCGTTGTACCACTCCCAACCGCCCTGTGACGCCCCTGTCATTGTAGCTTACCTGCTGTCTTTCTTGGAGATGCAGTAGCAGCTGAGGACTTGCATACAATCTCTGTTTCAACTGCCAATATTTTCACAATGTTGTCAGGTATTGGTGCGGGCGACACACGCAGATTCTACACACGCAGAAGGAAAGAACACACCATGAACATATACCTGTTACTACATGTACATGTACATGTTGCCACTGTCAAATATTCCACAGGCAAATGGTGGGGATGGAGAGGAGAGCAACAGCAGCAACAGCAGAAGCAGCAGCAGCAATAGCTGCACTATTAGCAGCAATAGCAGCAGCAGCAGTACCACACAGCAATTCACCACACCATACCTCAGATTGTATTCCCGGTATGAGCATAAAATGTCCAGTGGCCTTGTCCTCGCGAAACCGGCTTTCATACTCGTTCAACAGAATCTACAGCGCACGTTGCACAGGAGAATTCATACTCATTCAACAGAATATACAGCATACATTGCACAGGAAAATGCTTGTACATTGCAGAGGAGAATACTGGCTTTCATACTCGTTCAACAGAATCTACGGTGTACATTTGACAAGAGAATACAAGGCATAACGATTAAGCAAATCTACGCCAATAGTTATGTATGTCCCTGAAGATAGGCTACTGTAAAACCGGAAAATTTAGGTGGAGATTTATTTTCGGTAACTTAGGTTTTACTCACACATCACACACGACAACTTACCTCCACGGTCGACATGAGCTCCCCAGGATCCCCCAGCTCCTCGGGACACGCCCTCACCATCGTCGTGGAAACGCTCAGCTCGGCCAGCAGCCGTCGCAAGCCATCAATCTCATACGAGCTGAGACCGGCCATGTCCGAGAGCAGGCAGGATGGCGGTGATGGAGGTGGCTTGCCGCCTTGTGAGCTGTTCCCACGAAGCAGCAGCAGCAGCAGCTGCCGCCGTCGCTGGCGACTGGGCTGCAGTGTCATCCGTTGACAGCAGTGGGATCTCGGCGCATGCGGGCGCAGGAGAGAGCTTCGCTGCCTCCGTATCTGTCAGCGATCAGACAATCAGAATATACAAGCCCATATTTAGGCATAAGATACCTGCCGTGAACAGCATTCAACCGGCAACACCCAACAACAAGAGTACTGTAATTTGACAAATTGTTGGTGTACTTTTTTTCGGTACGTTTGGTGCGTCTGTTTCATACCTAAAGTTTCAATACACCGAACAAACACTAACACACATAATCCAATAGGGAACTGCTTCTCTGTACCTAAAAGTTCTGTTCGCCTAACCTGGCCTTTTGCCCTCATACTGAAAAATAGTGAGCACCTAAAATTTCTGAAATTAGAGTATATAATCCCCGAAGAGTGTGAAACTCCCGCACACCCTGCTGTCACCACAGAATTTCAAGTTGACGTCATTTTTATGATGCAATGTTCCACGCACCAGTGATTATTACGACATGTGTACGGCGAATCAACGCATCACACGTTTTTCTTTGCACTAGTCTGTACAAGGTCTAATGGGGCTTTGTCCACCACAGATTCCGAATACGTCTGATAAATTGTGATAATACGTGTACTGTGCAGCCTCTTCCCTTGTAAGAATAAGATCCTGTGCTTTGACACAAGAGTACATGGGGTTATGTAATCTTGCTTGACAGGATAACTACATATTTATGTTTGGATACTCCGAAGTGCAGTGATCCTGTTTTCTATTATTGTTGATGATGGTACAAACATAAATATTGCATATACACATCTTCCATATTGAGCTTTTATTCCCGTAGCTATGCAGAAGACTTTACTTCAGTAACGTCTGGTGCTAGCCAGGGTCCACACAGCTTTAATTTGGTGTTTGTTTGTTTGTGTCACGCCTGGCGCTATACCGTATGATCTGTCTAGTACCGTACCGTACCATCAAACGTACCTGGCCACAAACAGCTGGCCACAGTATTTGCTGGCTCCCGTATCTGTCCCGTACTGTGCCGTACCATCAAACACAGCTAGCTGGCCACAAACAGCTAACCACAATATTCGTCGTATTATGTATACGACTCCCTGATGTATAGGGAGATTTTCTGGAAAGAAATAGGGAGACGAGGAGGAAATGCAGTTAGAATGGACGCTAGTTTCCGAATAGGTGATAGGATTCGTCAGCAAAAAAATGCTTTGGAAGAGAGATCCAGTCGTCTCCAAAATAAGCGTGAACGGGCGAGTCAGCGCCGGTCACAGGAAACGTCGGAAGAGAGATCCCGTCAACTCCAGAATGCCCGTGATCGGCAGAGTCAGCGCCGGTCCCAGGAAACGTCAGGACAGACATCCCGTCGACTCCAGAACGCCAGTGATCGGCAGAGTCAGCGCCGGTCCCAGGAAATATTTCCATCAGTTCTAACAACATGCACGATGAGCTAAGCAACAAAGCATAGCGTAGGGCCCTGAGCTTCCAAGATCTCTCGTTAAATAGGTTAAGATTCACGTTATTTCTGACGTGACGCGAAAGTTCAGCTCGCGTTATTTGGCTAGCGCTTCTAAAAACAACGCGAATGACCCGCAGCTCACGTCGAAATCACATCGACAAAGGACATAGCAGCAGAGACAGAATACTTTCTCGTTCTCAGGAAAATAAATTCAACAGCCACGGCCACATGGAGATCGTTTCCCCACATTTTGTATTTTTAAGACACAGAGGGAGTCATAGTGGTACAAAGTGAAGTGTACGGAGATGGAGAGAGAGAGATGGAGAGAGAGAGTGAAGTGTACGGAGATGGAGAGAGAGAGAGAGAGAGAGAGAGAGAGAGAGAGAGAGAGAGAGAGAGAGAGAGAGAGAGAGAGAGAGAGAGAGAGAGAGAGAGAGAGAGAGAGAGAGAGAGAGAGAGAGAGAGAGAGAGAGAGAGAGAGAGAGAGAGAGAGAGAGAGAGAGAGAGAGAGAGAGAGAGAGAGAGAGAGAGAGAGAGAGAGAGAGAGAGAGAGAGAGAGAGAGAGAGAGAGAGAGAGAGAGAGAGAGAGAGAGAGAGAGAGAGAGAGAGAGAGAGAGAGAGAGAGAGAGAGAGAGAGAGAGAGAGAGAGAGAGAGAGAGAGAGAGAGAAAGAAAGAGAGAGAGACAGACAGAGAGAGACAGAGAGAGACAGAGACAGAGACAGAGAGAGAGAGACACACACACACACACACACACACACACACACAGAGAGACAGAGACACACACACACACACACACACACACACACAGATAGAGGCATAGAGAGACAGAGACACATACACACACAGTTCCACGGCAACACATCGATGAACGACGTAGGAGCATAACAAAACAGAAACCTTCATGCACAACTGCAAGCCTTGGAAAGCTGACACAAGGCATTGGCATGGTAGAGTTGTAGAAAATATGACAGACATGCACAGCACAGCTCACGTACCTTAGTAGTTTCTTCAATGTCCGCCACGGCAAGCTGACCGCTTATGTTGAAACTGTGCAGAAAGTTTCCACCAAACACTAGCCAATCCACAGGAGTGGGAACTGCATGAATCCAGCCTGTCAACGAACAAACAAACACACACATACACACACACAGATACACACACACACACACACACACACACACACAACCACACACACACATACATACACTCGTGCGTACACATGCACACACGTACACACACACAAACACACACACACACACCTACATGCATACACACACACACACATTACACCTTCAAGCAGCCGAGCCCGTTGGCAACAGACCCAACACAATCAGGCATAAGTGCACCCACCAACCGAACTAGCTGGCACACACTTACACACACATACACACACTCACTCACCAGTAGGCATGACAAAAGTCCAGCCTGGTTTCAATTCGACGCGGGCACACGTCTCGACCATGTCACCTGTAGTGTAATGAGTAGCATCATGACAAAACTCTATCCCTAGGCATATCAATGTCTGTCTCCAGGTTTCTCCTTCCTACTCCCTCCACTCACTCGCATTGATCTAACGTGTGTACTTGTATAAGAACCGCAGCCTGCCTGCTGTACCATTGACTCATGCATTCATGTACCGCTGTACTTGCTGGCTGCGCATCACGAACCCTTCCCCTTCTATGGCACAGTCCCCGCATGCACTGAATGCAGTACTCGGGTGCGCGTGCGTATTCATGTCTGAGTGCACTGCCCTCGGGCTCCATCTATAAATGGCATCCCGTACTGGGCACGCTGCTTCCGGTCGCTGCTGTGTGCACGCAGCGCCGTAGTCTATGCTGCTCTCTGTCTTCTCTACACAGTGATTCCCGATTGGAATCACTCTTCGTTTCTGCTCTCCTTGTAGTTAGTTGTGCTTTTCCGTGTCCGATAATGTTCCCCCTTCTGCAATAAAGATTCAGGCGAAACTACTCTAAGTAGCTACCGCTACATCACCCAGGAAGATATCCTGCTGTTTACCCGACAACACCCACTGCTCATAGGTCTGAAGATTGATTGGGGTCGGAGGAATCAGCCAGAACACCTGCAGTGCACAACAAACACATGCACACACACACACACACACACACACACACACACACACACACACACACACACACACACACACACACACACACACACACACACACACACAGACAACATCAGCGGTATGGCGGAGTCGCAATACAACATTGCAATGAATACAATGCCATAAGCGAGAAGGCCTTTCCCACTTCAGAACTGGTGGTTTGCAACAGAAGGGTTAGAGCACCGCTGCCCTCAAGTGAAAGCCCCTGGCTCGAGTCCTGGTGGCGCCAGTCAATATTTTCTTTAGACGTTTTCCCGTTTGCATCTTTCCCTCAACCAATGAACAGGCAAGGAGTCGTCCGTATTTTTCGAAAAATTAAAAAATCCGTCCTCAGGCAAAAAGGGGGTGGGTGGTCAAGAGTGCTGGCGGAATTAATTTTTTTGATTTTTCGTACTTTTTTTTGCTCCAGGCCGGGACTTTCATACACTTGTTGCACTGACTGTGTAGTGTACTGTAGACCAGGGAGTCGTAAAATACCGGTATTTCACGACTCCCTGCTGTAGACGTAGTGTAGGATCGATTGTCGCAAACACCAGTATCTACTATACATGACTTTTCAGACTTTTCATGTAGTTGTAGGACGTGCATGTCCGTCGGTTGACCTACTACTCACTGTACTTAGCTACTAGTACTTGACATACAATGTAGGTGCAGTCAGAAAACATGGCGTCAGGAGTTATTATTTTCCAGCTGGGCATCGGTAAAATCAAAAACTTAACGGAAAAATGGGGGTGGGTGGGTGGGTCAGAGACAATTTTGCACGAGGACGGATTTTTAATTTTTCGAAAATTACGGAAGACCCCTAAAGAAGGTGGTGTGACTTACAATCGAGCGTGACTTCTTCCTACGTAATATGTGAATGTACTGTATTGAAACAACTTGGCTCAGACCTGTTGCGACTTATCATCAAGTGCGACTTCTAATCAGTGAAATGCTGTACACTTAAGCCAATGCCAGCTTTCTTCTTCTCATTCCACTTCCTTCTCAGGTTCTGCTACAAGAAACATTCGTGATTATAAGGAGCTTGTCAGTCAGAAGGATGGACAGAGAGGTAAATATACATACAAGTACGGATGGATGATGGGTAGAGAAACAGACAGACAGATAAACAGACATACAGACAGACAGACAGACAGACAGACAGACAGACATACATACAGACAGACAGACAGACAGATGTATGTCTGTATCTACACCCATCGTCCATCTATGTACTGTGTGCATGTGTGTGACACAAAAACAGACAGGCGTGCAGACAAACAGACAGGGAATGCTGACCTTTCCACCCTTGAGAATATGATACCAGACGGATGTGCCACCAAAGTCGATACGGAAATCTGTGTAGCAGCCACCGACGCTCATCAGGCAGTACCTGTGACAGCACGGCATCACCACAAGCAACAGCAGGAGACCAGCAACAACAACAGCAGCTCCATCAGTAAGCCAGCAACAACAACAGCACAAGTAACAGCAGTAGACCAGCAACAGCCACACAATCAGTAAGCCAACAACAACAGTAGAACAGCAACAGCAGCGCCAGCACAACCACCAGCAGTAGGGCAGCCAGCAACAGCAACAGCAACAGCAGCACAATCAGTAAGCCAACAACAGCAGCAGCACCACAAGCACCAGCAATAGGGCAGCTACACCTGTAGTACTATCAACAGCACCAGCAGTTGGCCAGTAACAGCAACACCGGCGGCAGCAGCAGCAGCAGCACCATCAACAAGAGCAAACAAAACACACACTTTTGCACTTTGGGATATTTCATGGCGACCAGTCGGTTGCTGGCCTCCTGCTGCAAAGCGCGCAATATTTCCGGCCACACCAAGTCCACCTAATCCAAATGACGTACCTGCGTGCAACAACAACAACAACAACAGCAACAGCAGCCGCAGCAAGCAAGCAGTAGGAAGAAGAAAAGACAAATGAGCAATTCGTACATGGTTGCGAATACATACTATACAGCTTGTGATGGGGCATTGATAAACCAATATAAACACATTGCACAAACCAATCAGGAGTTAAAAATCCATACTTTCTCAGAACGAGCCTAAGCATGATCATGTATGACATGAGCCTCAAACGCCCACCAAACCCCCCAACACGGCATACAGGGGAGACAGTAGTGCAGTGGAGTGCTCAACTACAGTGCACTCATTTCTCACGGCTCCTATCCGGACCTCCAAGTTACGGGCATCTTGGTCTACGGGGAACCCTGTGAGTGAGTTCTAGTGGATATATTACTACTTTTCTACCAATTTGTGGAAATACCAGGAGTGACGTAATATGCCAGATCTACGTGCCTTCCACATCAAGATGTACATGATTACGAACATTTCCAAATGAAGGGCAGAGCCCCCGGTCCCGGACCGCCCGGATACAACAGATAAGAGTGTACTACATGTAACGTTACATGCATAGGATTGATTGATTGCAGCCTATATCAATCATATCTTCTGAAAATTGTAATCCAAGTTGCTGTCTGATGATCGGTTAAAACCGTGAAACTCAGAGTTACAGCAGAAACGCTTTTGATCCTCTCAAGTGTATGTAGGATTGCTGACGTACCAGACTGGGTGACTCCACTAGAGGCTCCAACTTAGTCTTGGTGAACTCCAGGCTAATGACGTTGTAGAGTTTGTCGCGTTTCGCATTCGTGTAGTACCTGCAAAAGAGAGTACATGGCGTGTGCCAAACACACACACACACGCGCACGCGTACACACACACACACACACACACAAACACACAATGTAGCTCCATGTCTCTTGGAACCTAAGAAAACACCCAAAAGACGCCATGCCACCAAGACTTGCACTGAAAGGCTTACTTTGTAAAGTTTGCCATGCTCATGGTGGAGCCTTGTTGTGAGGACACATCCATGATGTCAATAGTACGCCCACGCCTGCCCATCACCCAAAGACCCCCTAGCGATCTCACTGGCCCATTGCCCGCCATCCTCCTGGCACCTCCACCCATCTGCTGTACACTGCCTCCCCATCGCATCTTTCCGCGCTTTCATGCTCACACCTGCCTGTTGCCTGCCACTCTCCTGGCGCTTATACTGTCACGCCGTGGCCCGCGCCAGCTGTTCTCCCCATACCTTACACCAGATTTAGCGCTAAATTTGTTTATGCTTGTGGCCCTATGTATTTAGAAGCATACTGACTCACTGTTAGGTAGACCCGAGTATCAGTTGTCTGATGATTGCCTAACGGCATGAAACTCAAGAGTTACAACCAACCTGAACGTCCTCCGCTGAGTCTGCTATGATTTGAAAACTCCGTATGGCGGAACCCAGATGCGCATGCAGTTTACGTAAGACTTTCCGTAGATCGACTACATTTTTTTAACTAACGTAACTACGTTATGCGCAACCTCTCTAATAAAGTACAGTGAGTGCTGGAAAATACTTCCACAACTGTGGACAGTCGGTTATAGGCGATTCACACGACAGCCACTTGCACGTTTTACGGCGAGTGATTTACGAGAAAAAGTGACTGTGTGGATTCACATGGCTGCACTCAACAGCGGGCACGTTTGCATTTTTGAATGATTCACCCACCAGTTGCCATGAGTATTTCAACTTTTCATAACACGCGTACAATAATTATCACGGTGAAAAGAGCCGTGTAAAAAATCAAGTCTTGTTTTGCGCTTTTTGCTGTAAATATAGTTTACTGCTTGCCGCAGATCTGCAGAGGGGCTGAGGGCTAGACCCACAGGACACTTCTGATCATAACTCACTAGACCTAGTCTTTCTTAAACTTGCATTCAGTTTCGGCGGGGACAATACCCCCCGACACACGACCAACACAATCTTTAACTGTCTTTGACGCCATCACAATATCTATGCAAACACGGCCTAACGGACAAAGTCAAACAAGCCGTGACCTGATGTTGACACAGCCTGGTCAGTATGGAGCTTGCATGTCGAGTATGCAGTTAAGGAATTCATACCTCAAAAGTTGAAGCGAAACAACCTGAACAACAAACTGTGGTATAATGTGGGAAAATCAATAAATTAAAAAAATGTCAAGTTCGGAAATTTTATTGGGTGGTCATCCCGTTTGACTGTGCGAAGTAAAATTAAAACAACCAAATGGTTGGGTTGATCTGCACTGTGCAACCGATTCTCTCACCTTTCTTCCTCCAGCTATGCCTGTGACACCCTTTGTGAATCTGCGAAACACTAGTGGCAGGCCACGCGAAAATGAGAATGCGCGCATCCAACTTTAGGCCATCATCTCCTTCATCCATCATCCCGGCGGTAACTCCGCCCGTTCAATATCCAACACCAGTCCCCAGGAAAGAATAAGGCACGAGATTTCAAGTTCAAGGGCAAAGCTAAAGCCAATGAATGGCACTGATTTTTGGAATTGTCGAGTAGAACGAAAATAAATAATCGACGGTCCGATTAGACACACACGTGACACAGTTTGTTCGCGCTCGTGTGTCGCGCTTCGCATTTGCTGCAGCTCCGGAGCTCCAGCTGCAGGGCGCCCATGATGAGTCTCGCGCGCGCGACAGGCTAGCCGCTTGCGACGAAAGTTGTCTTTTTTTACGAATTCTGTGACGTCATGTTTTGGAAGAATGTAACAACAGTCATTATACATAATTATTATGTATGGTCTCATGTGATACAGGATCTGTTGACCTACATTTTACAGAATATTCACGGTCCACATGTGCACAGTCATCAAAAAAGAATATTCACGGTCCACAGTCATCATGTCACGTGTGTACATGTACAATGTAGGTCGGCAGAGCCTGCAGCCTATTATTGTAAGACTAAGAGTTACTTTGTGTAGTTCCTGCCAAGTAATGTCCAGTTCATTCTGTCTTGCGCCATTCTGTCTTATGCGTCCTGTCGGCTCTTGTGTATTTGTCTCTTTCTTCTTCACATATTAGGCTTCACACTCACAGTGCTGGAGAAACCAGTTTGAAGTGGAAACTCAGGATTTCTTCGCTCCTGTACACTCCTCTGTGTTTTGATATGCACCGGGTACACACTGCAACTAGTTTCTCCATCGATATGCTGGTACATGGTGGGCCGGGAGACACTGATCGGCTATTCCACAGCTATCGCCAGCCTCTCTAAACCATCACTTTGCCCCCCCCCATTCCCGTATACATGTATGTACATAACACAATCATGTAGGTATAGGAAATAACCATACCCATGTAAAGTGTTGCTCTGGACAACACAACACTCTACCGAGAAGTCTCTATACTCGACTATAGGGCTTGAAAGTGATGACGTCAAAACGGCTAGGGAGTAGTAAGTTGACATCAGATTTTTATTTTGGATCCACTAAGGTGTGACATTGCTATTGCCTCAGTATGTGGGTGCATAGCAACCCACTCATGTCGTATGCAGGGGTGACTTTTACTTCGCCACCAGTTGTAACCCCGCCCCCAGTAGCCAAATCAGTCAGTTTCACTGGCTACAGCACCTTGCTGTGAGTAAGACGGCTTGAAATGTGCTTGGATCCATACAAAAACTGGATCCAAGTGGATCCAGTTTTTGAATTTTTGAAATTGTTGCTATGCTGTGACGTAGCACTTTCAAGCCCTATTACTAGCATCACGAATATCGAGTTCAAGTTTGCGTACACTTTCCAGTCGAAACAGGAATTGCGGATTCGGATCAGGAGAGTCATAAATTTACAAGTACGTAGTTTTGTGCACAAGGGCCGGGGCACATGGATGCGGCTAATGTGATTCCTCCAGTGGTTGTGAGACTCATCCCCCACCCCACCGTTAATTCGCCGCTTCTGTCGCTAGGTTTACTGGATGTTATAGCGACCGTGGTGAGTTAGCTTCGTGAGCGGACACCATAGTTTAGTCTTTTTATTCTATTGACCGGTGTGACGTCACACACTTAAGCGGACGGGCAGGCCAGAATGGGATGTAGGCCTTGACGGATTATGCTAATATTTTCCTGAAATTATGCTTTTCGCATTGCTGAATAAATTGCAGAATTATGCTATTTTTATGCTAAAAGTTATCATATTATGCCGCATTATGCTCACATACATGTATGCTGCTAATGTATATGATGGTTCTGTGCAAAATAACAGGGGAATGTTTTGTAGAGGGCGGTTAACGGGGTCAACGCTAGGCACCGGCGGATTATGCCCGCGAAATCATGGAATTATGCTTTCATGGATTCTCGCATTATGCTCGCAAAATCCTCATATTATGCTTTGGCACGCTGGGATACATATTCACTTTGTTGTGCTTATGAAGCCTCAAAGTTCGGAAAATTGTGCCTTTTTCGTACTTGCAAGTGGCCATGAGTACAACAAAATACATGAGTATCCCCATACCAAGGTGTCCATGCATACTAGAGATCAACCCGGAAAAGAGAAAACATTACTTCTTCTATTCATTTGTTGACTTCTTTTGCTTTGAAAGATTTTTCCTTACCTTTGAAAACTGTCATGTTCAACTGTCTTCGTAATCGTCATACTCGTCCAACTGATGTCACCCTAACCCTGCGAATTCTCATAATCAGCTCATCTCTCCCGTAGCTCCAGCTCTCCTTCCATCCGATTACCGAACATCAACTATACCCCAATTTGTTTAGTTATTAGAGCAATACCCATAGCCTGCACAGTCATAGCTGCTAAGATCTAGACGTCATGACTTCGTAACAAGCTTAGTGTACATGTACGCGGAGTTTTGCGGACTACCCATCACTATCTCGTCCGCCCCGGGATACCTGATAAAGGCTGATTCACTCGCATCTTCTGCCACATGTACTGTGTCAGGGTGAGAAAGAACTTTGAGAAGACGAGTTCGAGCACACCAAGTGCCGAAACGTAAAAATAATGGAACTGGTTCGGATGTGCAGCGCTGTGGGAATTGGTGTGTCCACCCGAATTCCTTTCACGAAACAAGACTTGTCAGGAGTAATACTGCTTTCGTGGAGTGTGGCTGGTGAACTGTTCATGCTGTGCTCTGCAAGCGTCGTGTGGTCTCGTCGGGTCAAATAAGACCCTATTACCGTACTATTCGATGGACCTCTGGAAGATGGCAACAAAGAATTAAAGACAATAGCATGAGTTGCTGATAGTTTTGCTGCTGCTACTCTTTCATATCACTCTACGTATCTTTATCACCATGGTTGGCTAACACCCACTCTCCCAACATTCTCCTCTGTTTCCACTGAGCCTAGAGATGAAGTAGTAATATTAATACCTCTACTTACTAGTATATAGCTTGCACAAGACACTCCGGTCGGTCGGGTTAGCAGACATTACCGTAATGAGATCACGTGATGAGATGGTGATCTGCTACAAACCTATAAACTACCCCAGCGGCAAGTTTTACTGCATCCCATGGAGCGCCTTTGCAAACTCTGGCTATCACTCCACAGTTGCGAATCATATCGTGGTGAACATTTTCAAGTGAATGATCAAACGTGTCTGTCATCAGAACCATCATAAAGAATGAAAATGAAATGTGAAATTAGAGACTACAAGACTACATGACTATATATGGGGGAAGTTCCCTACTGGTGTGATTCACACAAACGGAAATAACCAACAGCTACAAAATTCACACGTCACCACAGAACATTGGTAGGATATGCGAGAATTGTCTGCTACTCAAGACAATGTGACAATAGTGGAAATATCACAGAAGTACTGTAACAATAACGTATGCTGATTGTGTCGCTACAAGAGTGTTATCTTTTTTTTAAGGTTATGTTTGTTTGGTAGTTGTCCCCAGCAGTACAAATCTAGTAGGATTTACGAATACATTTTCAACACCTGTCTGCCTAAGTAACAAGTATGCATCTGTATGTGAAAGCTGAGACTACCATTGGTAACGGGTCATTTGCGTGTTGAAGACGATACTGTTCACCCAGTACTTTTCCTTCCACCTCGTTGAGACTGACATTCATACATAGCTGATTGCTACATCAGATAGCGCTAGCCGATATACCAACCAGCTATATCCGTTATCCCTAGCCATGGATTGACCTGTGTCTGTAGCATGTAGCATAAACTATATAGAGACAGTTGTGAATCTTGCAGCAGTAGCGCAGGGTGTGATGATTTCCAAGCCACTTAGTTTCAGAAAAAAATCATTGTTCGTTTCCTCTATCTTTGTACTCATGATCTGTTTGTTGTGGATGTCAAGTGCACATCACATTTAGTGTTCACTACTCTCCAGTGTATATAGTGGAGAGTTGTACTGGGAAGACATCTGTTACATTTCCAGTATCTACAGTACATGTATGATCATTAGTCACGGCAAGAGCAGCAGTGCCACCATCAAGTCATCTCCACTATCCTGATACCTGCCAACACACACCACATAGATTGCTACAAAGTAGCAGGCATCATCAGGGAGAATGGATAAGGCTAGCTTGGACACATAGCACGGATGTATGACAAGCGTTTGTCAAAGTCTGGTATGTTTGGACAGCTCCTTGCAATGTGTTCTCAGCATTGTCCCCGCAGGCGATGGTGTGATGTGGATGGTGAATGATATGCAATCCCTTAGTCAGTCCCTGTTCTCCGTTGACTGCTGCTATACTGGTGTACAGGTTGGTTTTGTTTACACACACGTTGCTCATGGTCGTAGTCACACTGCACCTACTCCAGGTCGAGATCGATCAAGGTTTACACTGTACAACACACAAGGTCTGTAGTCAATACGGACATCTCAACCATCACACACCATACTGAAAAGTAGGTAAATACATAATGTAATCCCGTCTCTAACATTCACTGGGTTGATGTACACAGCTTGGATCTGAACAACGGACTGTGATAACATGTATAGTAGTGCTGATCAGTACTACTCTCGCCCAACACTACTTCATTCATTCACTGCTGATTTATCTGCTCTTTCGATTTGCTCTCTCCTCCGTGCTCATTTGACTACATGTGTCTGATGCATGATGCTGGTGCGTGTGAGGAGGCCGAGACCATTAAAAAATAATACATGTGTATGGTGTTGTGTGTTACAGGCTCAGTCGACCTACATGTACAATTATGTACATAAGTCATTGTACAGAATTCACGGTACACACTCATGTATATGTACATGTATATGTAGGTCGTCAGAGTCTGTAGTCTCCATTACTTTGTGTAGTTCCTGCCAACTAATGCCCTGTCACCTCTTGTCTATTTCTCTCTTTTTTCTTCACATATTAGCCTTCACACTCACAGTGCTGGTGAAACCAGTTTGAAGTGGAAACTCAAGATTTCTTCGCTCCTGTACACTTCTCTGTGTTTTGATATCCACCAGGTACACACTGCAACTACAGTAAAACCTGGTTTAAGCGACCACCCCAAAGTGCAAGCAAAAGTGGTCGTTAAAGCCGGGTGGTCTTTAGAACCAGGTCCCACGGTGTCCGTGTAGAACTGTCGGTGCATGGAATAACG